CTATAAGCTTAATGAAGCCGTACACTGGCACAAATTTGGATGAAGAAGAGGTTATATTTAACTACAGGTGTGTTGCCCACATCATATCATTTCTAAACATCTTTTTCCCTTAGTTTTATTTTTTTTTAATTCAGATTAAGCCGAGCCAGACGGGTACCAGAAAATGCGTTTTGCATTCTGGCAAGCCGTTTTAGGTTTTTCCACACGACAATCGATGCCGAACCAGAAAGAATCTCCTCATTCGTCAAGGCAGCGTGTGTGCTGCACAAGTATTTGCGAGCTTCACCTGTGCTCTTTAAAGCGTCGAGGGAGGACCACCAGCGAAAAAGGACAATCTACTTCGGGCTACGAAGTTCCAAAGGGCGCTCCGGGGCAAGAGCTCTAGATGTGCGTGAGTGCCTACAGAGATACTTTAATGAAGAAGGCGCCGTCGCGTGGCAGAGGGAACAGGCGGGCCTTAATCTGCGGATAAATAACAAAATTTAACTTTACCTGCATGCGCAGACAAGGGCAAAAGCAAAGAACGAAAAGTGTACATATAGATACCATTTTATGGTCTGTATATTGCCACTTTCTTTACTTAACAATCGGTCATGCATGTGTTGACACTTTGACCACTAAAACGTTTTGTGTTATGCTCTAATTGTTCAACTTTATGTAAATATACTTCCAAGAATGTTCAATGTTTCCTCTTTTTTTTTTATTTCGCCACGCTATAATATTAGTCACAGTCTAATACACTGGCCCACTCCAACAAAAATAGCCATTAGTTCCGAATGTAATAAGTACGAAAGGCAAAGGTTACAAATACTTGTTTATTTCCAAGTATGCTTTTCACTTACCAATTCGAAATGCTAATTTTTGGTTTATCATTTTTTAGTTTGAATAGGGTTCGTTGAATTAAATTTATCCTTACTGTCGGTCTAAGTAACGCTTTACTAGTTCCAATACCTCAATCTGACACTGAATAAAATTGGTTCCATTCAGGTTGCTCATGTGACTTGCCACTACTCTTCCGAAATTGTCAGCGCCGTCGCCAATTTGTTTAGTTGCGAAACTTTCGCCAATTTTAGTGAAAGCAACCGTGCGCTCTTTCCACCCAGAGCTAGAGCAGTCATCTGATTTCTTTTTTCCATCATCGCATTTTGGGCGCTTTACAGGAGTGGCCAGACACTTCACACTGGGACTCGTTGTTCCGCGCGGTGTGTGTGCGGTAGGCTTGCCAAAGACAAGTTCCCTCATCTCGGTCGTAACAGACGCCGATTCTGTCTCACTGTCTGTCTGGAAAGGCAAAAGAATTACGAATGCGTTACGGTAGAGGAACTATATATGTAAAGCACCACTTGCACGGCAGTATATCGCAAGTGTTGGCCATTTACTGTTCAGAGTATTGAGGGAGAGATGAAAGAAAGGGAGAGGGTGACTGAGTTTTAGTAGTGAAGGGAGGAGGGCGATTGGTTGCGTGATCAAGAGTAGATGTCCCCACGGTAGTGTTGCGGGAGAAGCCAGAGTTGTTTTTCGAAGAGACGCGGCAGGTCGGACCCATGAAGGCTCACCGGCGGTTGGCTGTTTGATTTCGAAAATTTAAGAAAACGAGAGGTTTACTCAATGGAGGAGCTTGTACACTCTATTTCAATTCAAAACAGTTTAATGGCCCTGAAACTTGTAGGAAACTGCATTGCGGCCAGGACATAACGCGCGGGCCGCCGGTAGTCAAACCCTAGGATAGTGTCTCGCAACTTCATCCAGCGACTACCAGCAGTTCAAGAGACCTTGATCAACACGAGTGAACGAAACAAAATGCTGAAACGTGTATAGAAAAGCCAGAGCTTGTACGTCACCCAAGCTAATGGGATTCAGTGACCTCCATCAACGAACGCTCGCCAACGTTTCATTCATTAGGTCTGAAGAATCAAGCTAAACGAATAGGTGAACCCGCCAAAGGTTACTCACTCCCTTGGGATCCTCATGTTGGTACGACACGTTGCACTCCCGGGGAAGGACAGGTTTGCTCTGATCCAAGAAGAAGAGACTGCGGTAGAACCTCCATCTACCGTCGTACGTGTACACCGCAACTTGGCCGCACTTCGTCTTCATGATCTTTTCCTTCTGCCGTTTGCAGACGCGTCGCTTATTAGGGGCGAAGTTCCTTAGGGTCTAGCCTTGTCCGTCCGTTCGTCCGTCCGTCCGTCCGGCGTCTGTGCTCACATCAAAATTTAAAAAAAAATGTTTGCGCAGTCGAAGGATTTGAGCCTGTGCAGAAAGACCCCAATGGATTTCTAGTCCATCGCCTTAACCACTCAGCCACGAGTGTGGGACGAGTGGGCGGCTCTGAGATGTGGTAGTAACTCAAGAGCTGGGGTTTCTGTCATGGATGAAACGTTACATGTAGCCGCTCGAGGTCTATACAGGAGAGTGCGCTGCGGTGAAATGCGTATATAATCGCGTTAAACTTTGCATGCATTGGATCAACGTTTATAGACGAGAGGGCGCTGCGGTCAAATGCTCAAATGCGTATATAACCACGTTCCATACCACACATTCTCTTTCTGACATGGACCGTTGACTTAAGTGGCGGAGATGCGTTCCCACGGCTTCTAGCGGATCCAAACTAATGCGCTAGAAGAACCACTGGCTTTGCATTTCACCGATCATAAAGCAGTAATAATGAAGTGTAAACGCAACCCGGAAATCAGCACTACCTATGAGCAATAAAAAAATCGGCACCATCAGCACTACCTATAGACAATAAAATCTGTATCACCAGCACCACCACAGCTTCGCCCCAATCAACATCATTCACCACGTGAAGATGCGGTCATTTGTTTTTTAATAAAAGCCTCTCACTCCCTCTGAAATGTCAGACAACAGTAAACGGTCAAGTACAACTCGGAGTCGACACTAACTAGTCCGCCTTCAATGAACCCACCTTCCGTGTTAGGCCCATACTGGGAGTGGCGCCGTTCCATTTCATTGGCAATTTGTTTCGAGAGCTCTGACTTTATGCCGTTGTTGCGGTACTGGTCGTGTTGAAGGCACCAACGCTGTGGAAACTCTTCTACGAGTGCAATTAAACACAGCGGCGCTTCATCGCTGACATCCTTCATCGTTGTCGTCTTCAATGCCAGGTTCATCAGACGCTGGCGGGATTGGAATCGACCGTCACGTGCGTTGCGTGACCGTTTTTTTTTTTTGTAGCTTGGACCGCAGCGAAGCACCACCAAGGCTCTCGGCGCGAGGTGAGAGCGTTGGGAAATACCAATCTTGAACAGTATGGCTCGTGCAGCGAATTCAGCGAGAAAGGTACGAACTCGGACTCGCAGTTCTCGCCTTGGTTCACGCCAACCATGCAGTATTGATTCGTATGTCCTCGGACTTGCCCAAGTCCGCGGACTTGTCCGTTGTGACGTCGAAGTCACGTGATGCGCATATTTAACAGGTCCGCGGACACCGTTCCCGAAATTTGTCCGCCGTGTGAATACACCTTAAGGACCTCGCCCCACTAGGCAAACAAAGAAGTACATACTTTTCAAAGCCAGAGCAAAAGCAATTTTTCGGCGACTCGAGTAAGCTTCGGCAGTAGCTGGTACAACTATTCACGAATGGTTTGTTCTGTCTGCAGTAGGGTGTTTTTAAGGGACAAAATGACGTGTCGCAAGCCTCTCTTATATGTCCATATGTTTGCAAATAGCGCCTGTTGTTTGTACACCTTATGGAACGCTTGTGGCCATGTCTCACCAGCCCAACAAACATCGGTGTTTGACCGGCAAGAAAACGAAACTTACTTTTGTTGCGTGACTTGCGTGCAGACCTGAAAATGTTTTCCACTCGTTTTTTTTTTATTATTGCGTAGCGTTTTGTTGATTCTCAAGCGGAGAATATATGTATATATATATATATGTATGTTTTTTTTTTTTTTTTTATCATGTGTGGTCAATCTGCCTGCGAGCATTGTTTCCTGTTTGTGTCTCGAGAGGGACGAAGCCATGCAGGAAGTGTTTTTGTGCCTGAAAAAGAAAACAAGAAACAGCGTATTTTGGCCTGTGCTTAACTAGAAAGGTCTCCAGTTTCAAGCGGGATGCTGGCGGAAGTTCATTAACGCGAGAGCATCCTCCGGTTCCTCTTTCGGCGAATTAAGGATGAATAAGGAACTCGCGCTCGGCCGGCACCTCGGGGGAAATTAAGGGAGTTCCAATGAGGCGCCAGGTGCATGCAAAAACGAAATTAATTGCATTCTTTCGATACGAAGAAAGTCTCCAACGAAGCCAGAGGCGCACTTTGCGTGAATCGAAACCAAAGCATCCTAAGAACTGAGTAGTGGAAACACCGCGGTAGGCGAGAGGTCGCGAAAATCACATTAACTGGATTTCCAACTCAGATCACGTATCTCTCTTTAACGAACAAAACGTGACGGTGCAAGTGAGCTGGTGACTTGATCATGGTAGATCATGGCGTCACAGCAGTCGTGGGTAATTCTACTATGTTATATATACCATCTCCTTTCGTAATTTTCTTATTCGGACCCTTGTCCGCGTCCTGTTTGAGTACGACTCTGTCTTTCCAATACGAGCGTGAGTGCTCGAGACCCTATGAAATTAAAGGGAATGTACGATCACCGTCTTATGAATCATTACTGCTTCTGTCAATGTAACTGGATACCTGGATATTGGAATTAAATTGGTGAACCATTGTTGTTTTATTGCTCTATTTAATGTACAAAAAAAAAAGTTTACTGATAAAGCAAAGTGCTGGAGAGGCGGAATGTGCGTCTTACCAGTGGCACGTCGTCCGAGCATTGGAGCGAAAGACGCACGTGACCTGGCTAGTAGTATTTTCGCTTTATTTTGCTTTGTTCGCATAATGCTTGACCGATCTTTTAATTTTTGACGATTTAACCGCATTAGCTATTAGTATTTGGTTTTCTGTTTTGTTTCGTTTTTAGTCTTGTTTCACGGCGAGACAAACTTGTTCGTTTTGTTTTGTTTCTTTTCCCTTTTCAGAAGGCGAGCCGGCGAATCGTAAGTTTTATTCTGTTTCGTTCTCTGTGCGTTCATTTAGCCGTCTCCTAACGATTTATGCCCAAGTTGTACTCCCAACTGTCTTTCTCGCTAATGGCTTCGTGAATGCTAATTTTTGGGAAACAAAATATCCACCTCAGATCTGCCAGTTTTAGTACAATTCGATTCCTGTTTTCACTTAATAAACTAACAGAAACCGGCTGCTTTTAAGTACGCATGTCCCTACAAACTTTTACTGATTTACTTCCTGACCGTCTTCAAGAATGTCTCTAAAACGTAGTTGTTAAGAAATGTGATTGCAGAAAGGAATGGAAAGCATGAGATTGTGGGCCTTTTGACTCTCTCATAAATGGCGCATGCGGACAGACATGGTCCACATACTTATCCAAATTTTTTTTTTTTAATTGGAAAAAAGAAGGATCGTGGTCCACGTACATATTTTTTTTTTTTTTCATATTCCATGCGGTAACGTAGTGCCGACAGGATCGGCCAATGAGCTATTCAAAGGGTTGGCATCGAGAGCAATGGCTTGGTGGCGCCATCTACCGCCCAATACAACAGACTTTCTCACTACCTTTCATTTGTTTATACTCCGGTTCTCACACACTGTAAAACAACGTCAAGGTTCTAGAGGAAGCTTTAAAGGGCTACTCCACCGATTTTTTCATTGTCTCCGATTTGCTTGAAATTTTGCTAAACTAACCAACAAACATCGCGAAAATAGTATCCCAAATATTAGGTCAAAATATTGTTTTTTCGCGAAGTTATTGAATTTACAGTTTTGGTCCTCACCGTGTTTTTCAAGCTCGAAGTCTCTACTGGCAACAGTGAAAAAGTGACGTCAGTGGAAGGCAGGGGTTCACTCTTTGGGCTGTAGATTTTGTTCTAAACTGATTCGAAGCAGTTTCATGGTGTCAAATGAATGCTTGGGAAGCTCGCAGCAGTACCCGCGCTCCAGCACGGAGCAAATGATCGGTATATTCTATTTGTTGGCTGCTTGCTCGAGTGGCAAGCCTGCCTGCCACTGACGTCACGGCCCTGAAAAGCGCGCGTATATTTGAATAGTGGTTTTTGCATCATTTTTATTTGCCGATTTCGCAATAACTATTATGAATTTCGCGATTCTGAATAGCATACCGGAGAGAGTAAAGGCCGGAGAGTCAGAAAATATAGTTAGTTGAGGTAGCTCAAAAATTCGGTGGAGTACCCCTTTAAAGGGGCCCTCCAACAGTATTTGAGCGTCGACTTTTTTTGCGGTTTCTACACGCTAGTGGACCCGGAAACCCAGTGGACAACGAAAGAGTTTGAAAATATTAGCGCATCATATTTTAATTTGCCAACTCGGAAACACCTCCTCCGACGGTGGCGCGGCGAGGTGCCGAATGCGCGCGCAAAACGGCGCTCCCTTTCACTATACGTCACATTCTCTGGGTTTCGTGATTGGCGAGAGCCGCCCCAGGAATTTCGAAGCGAAATAAAGTATATCACACGTTAACCGTCATTATTTCTCAAACAAGTCATTTTTACAGAGCTAATAAAGTTGCAAAGTAAAGTTCAAAAAGGGCGAAAACAACGCCTTGTCGCTCATGCGCGCCTCCCAGCGGCGTCCGCGACGTACCATCGCGAGCAGACGACAGGGGGTCCGTGCAGACAACGCGCATCGTATTTTCACTTGTGCGCCCCCGGTCCCGGTCAACTAAAAGCAGTAAGAGGAGCGAGGGGAACCCTTATTTTCTTTTAGTGCTGTGACAGACTTTTCACTGTTCGAGTGAAGTGCGGCGACGGGACCCAGCTTATATCGTGCCCAACGGGAACGCTCCCCAGTTTGTACCTCCTAGTTGCCGAGGCGGCTCCGGTGGCGGAGTTGCGGGAGACGAGTCTTCCGCTGCTGTCGAAGCGGATTGAGGCAGAGACGCGGCGCTTGCGTGGAGTGTCCTCGTACGGCGCGACACCCAGATCCGCCCTCAAAATCCGATAATCCCGGTAAATTCATCGATGATGGCAACCCGATCCCAAAGCTACGATGGTTGCTACTAGGCCTAATGGCCGCCGAGCCGACCGGGCCGACGGGCTATCAACCAAACTCGCGTCCAATTGGCCAACCGCTTTGCTCCAATCGCTAAACTGTTTCATTTTACGTCATGAAGCGCAATGTTTTGCTTATTAAAAGTTGTTTTCTGCAAAATTTAATTTGCGAATAACTCGCAAAATATTGCGAATTTCTGTAATATTTTTTTTCCCGAGTGTTCCTGCTTAGATGGAGCTCCGTTTTAGCGCGAACTTCAAACCTGTCAAAAAAGTGTTGGTGGGCCCCTTTAAAGGAAACACTTTTTTTTTCTTACCACAAATGAGATGTTGTTCTTAGCGTAGCTTTATCCTGTGGATCCAAATGTCATGTTTGTTTTCCCGGAGGATGAAACTAAACACGAGAACACACGAAAAAACTCCCACCAGTGGTTACGTCATAAGAGGATCCTTTGATCACCAAGCGCGTGTTGCTTATCTGGGCAGCGAGTGCGATTTCGAAAATTCCACGTACATTCTCCCGCACGGACACTATACTTGGTTTCACCTTATGTTGTACTGCAGCGAAGGCCAGAAGCTTGAGCTCATAGCGTTGGCAGCCGCTCTTAAGTCACGAGAGCTTGTGACGCCGAGATGTGGCCCAGAGCAAGGAAGTCTCGCTTGTAGCCTTTCCTGCGGTTCATCGTAAGGTGAAACAGAGTATAGTCGTGGCGTCTTCTTTCTTTTTTTTTTTTACCTTTTTGAAAATAGCAAGAGTGCGCGTGCATAGCTATGGTAGGCGTTGAAGATACGCCAGAGCGGAGATTCCGAAATCTCATTTTATGTCGTCACGCTCCGGGAAGGAACTCGGTAATTTGAAAGTGATTTTCTGCAAACTCCATGCAGCAAATTAAAAAAAAAAAATATTCTCGATATTTAAAACCCGTCCTGGAAGCCAGATGAAGACTTAAGTGTGTTTCCTCAGTTACAAAACCGCTTCAGGTTCCCTTTAAAGGGTTGCTCCGTCAATTTTTGAGCTACCCAAACTAACCCTATTTCCGGTATCACCGGCCTTTACTTGTCCAGTATGCTATTTAGTATCGCGAACTTCAATATGGTTATTGTGAAATCTGCAAGTGAAACTGATGCAAAAACCAACATTCAAATATTCCGGCGCTTTTCAGTGTAGTGGCGGCTGTAGAAGGCATGTTAGTTGGTCGAGCGGGCAGTCTAAATATAGACGATTCCGAGCATTTGTTTCGTGCTTCCGCGCAGGTGCTGGAGCTCTATTCATTTTTCACCATGAAACTGCGCGTAATTAGTATGTAACAAGGTCTACAGTCGAAAGAGTGAACCCCTTCCTTCCGCTGACCTCACTTTTGCATTGTTGCCAGTGGAGACTTTCCCTTTGAAAAAACACCGTAATTAACAAAATTGTAAATTCAAACACTTCGAAGAAAAAGGGATTTTGACCCAATATTTGGGTTACGCGCGATCTCTACACGTTTTTGGCCTATTTAGCAAATTTTCGGGCAAATCGGGGACTACGAAGGAAACGCCGGAGTACCCTTTTAACCGCGCTGTAAATACACTGATCAGCCAACACGTTACGACCACCCTTACATTGTGTAAATGAAGGCGTCCAGTTGACACGCCACCCACGTTCCTTAGCATCTGCTAATGCGGATCGTAGTTTAATGGCTGCTGGGGATATAGAGGGATCATTTTGCCGACTGCGTGTGCATGTGTTGGGAAAGGCGGCTTATTTACGGGATTTTGACAAAGAGTTGATTGTGATGGCTCGACGTCTCGGAGCAAGTAACTCGCCAGCTGCAAAGCTCGTCGAGTGTTGGCGAGCTGCTATCTTTAGTACCTGTCAAAAGAGGAAGAAAGACGGCGAGATTGTTACTAGACGCTGGGGTGTTTCCTGACAAAATGTGGATGTTAAAGATTTTTCCTCCTGGTGAAGCAAAACAGGTGGCTTCTTCGGCTCAACTGACAGCTAGATGCAATGCAGGTAAAGGTATAGGTGTTTTGGAGCACACAGTCTATCGGACTTTTTTGGATACGGGATTCTGCAGCAGACGACACTTGCAACTGTATCGCGCGCGCCAAATGCGCACGATACAGTAGGTGGTGATAATATTTGACATAGAGTGGGAAGTCACAGTGTTTGGCATTAGGTATGTGGTCATAATGTTTTGGCTCATCAGTATATATGCCTGAACAAAATGGAATGTACTCTATTTGAATGTCTACGAATTCAAAGCCACTGTGCATTCAGCGATTGTGCCATCCTCCCGAAAGTTGAAAAAGCCACCGGCCAACAATCCAACGGCACCGGTCACACTAACGTATACCCGAATAAACTCTGACACATGCAGCCTTGCGGTTCAGAAACCCGCCATACTTATTTTGTAGCTTCTATTTTTGAATAAAATCCGAAACTATAAAATAGCGCAATGTCAGTGGACGTCTGGTATGTAACAGAATGGGGAATACTTTTTCGTGTAATGTGGGGCACGCTATGTAGTTTGAACAGAAATAAATTGTGACATTGCCAGAGGGGTGGCTATACGGTAAAAAAGTTATAAAGCAACGACAAAAACAGCGTTAAAATTACATTTGTGGTAGCATGTACTAAAAACAAATAAAAAACAAGAATACGAATCGGAAACTCATTCACCTATTTGCCATCCACAGAAAGCAACGCCTAAACTATGTTTCACCTTAGGTGCAGACGCTGCCGAGGCTACGTGTTGATGAGACCAATCGGACAACGACAAAAGCACACCGTCACGATGTTCGTCATGTTTCTGTACGCGTTCTGTCGTCTCCGAACCAATCATAGACAGAAAAGGCCTGGTGGTTTGAGCTCTTGACGTTGAATGATAGGTTCAATTACTTCGTAGCGTCGGCTGCGTCTCGGTACTTAAACTAAAACGAAGTATAGAATAATCAAGGTTGCGAAAATCCTCATTTCACTCCATGGAAGGTCATCACAATCAAATAGCACCAACTATGCACTTAAACCTGAGTCAGAACCCGAGCGTCCTTGGACGCGTTGATTGGGCACGAAGGCGAGGCGAACACTGACGCAGTACTCGTGTCCAATCTGTGTCTTCGCTGTATCTCACTCCGATGACGTCACACTTCTAGTGGACATGCTCCGGTTACTCTAGGTGCTGCTTGCACAATCCCTTAGTACGGACTCTCAAAGGCAGAAACTAACACTTCAAGATCACTATTGAATTTTCATACTTTTCGTCAACCGAAGTCGTCTGAACCTGTTGCTCCTGGCGTAGGAAATGACAGTCGGGCTAAGCTGAAAAAGACATCAAATCGCGAACATATAAAAAGTACAAGAACGAACTTCTTTAGATTAAAGTACGGGATATTCGAGACAGATCACAAAAGTAGCCAATTATGGCATAGAGAAGAAATAAAGAACATTTCTAGAGGCTTTAATATCAGGATATGTTAGTTGTTGTGGTGACAGGAGGCACTGGACATTGAGGCGAATTGAGTGCGTTTGAAGATATTGGAGTCATTATTTGTATTCTGGTTATAAGGCGCACAAAAGACGAGGATAAATTACGGAACAAACACAACGACAAGCACTGACTGGCCACTGGCAGCTTTGCCAAATTCCAGTTGCGAGTGAGCGCTTGCTTCACGTGTTTGTTTTCGGGCGATTCGGTTACCGACTGGCGCACATTGATTTCTATCGTTGCAGGCCGGATCGTAGATTGTGAGTCCGTCGGTTGCATCACCGGCGGCCATTACTTGATACCAGGCGATAAACTCATGTCTATGGGAGAAACACACAAAAGTAGGAATACTGAATCTTGTACGTTGTGTTCGAAGGCTTGTATGTTATGATGTGCTACGACTATTACATTGGGTGTTTGGAGATCGAATAGGTGTTTCCCAAGCGTTCGAACGCCCATTAGAAATTGAAACGTTTCAGAGCACCCACGGCTAAACTGGCAAGCTTGCTCTCGTCGTGGAGTAAAGGAAAAAACTTGCCGTCAATAAGACCGTCCTCGGGGAAGCCAAGAAGTTGATGAATATCAAAAAAGTTCTATGTTTGCAGCGGCTTTCCGGGAATGAGCGAATTCCGCATCGCAACGCCTTGCAGCTTGTCGTCTCCAAGACTCTACTCATCTAGTCCGCCGCCGGCTCGGCGGTAACTCTAGATTACTCTTGTCTTACTGAGCTTCACTACGTTTTTCGACCAGCGGAGTCACTCTAGACCACAAATGGTTTATTTTGTAAGAACTGTGAGGTCTGTCAGTATTAATTTTTGTACACAAACTATTTGACAGGCTTCCCATAAAGCAGCCAACATGTTTCCTCACCGACAACAACTTAAAAAAAGGGAACGGCACTTGTTTACGTTTTTTTCTTATAGAGTCCGATGCACTTAGTAGTGTCAAGCAAATACTGCCGGTGGTGCGACTAGACCCCAGCAGGAAAGGTCTCGATCCGTGATCCAGCCTTCTGCAATAGACATGTGGTGGCGCACACCAGCTAGGAGCACGTGGAGCGAAAGCTCTCACTCCAAACCCAGGAGTTCGGGGTCCAATTCCCACTTCTGCCCCTATCAGCTTGAATGAGCATCGTCCCGGCGTGCGGTCATGTATCACTACTGCGTGCTGTACTTCAAGGATCTCTTGCTAGCGGTATACTGCATTGGCTAAATTTTTCATCTACAGCTGAGACACCAGACGCCCATGGGAACGAGTAACTTCCGGACGTATGAACATAGACATAACAGCAAGTTCAATTACTTTGTCCTCGTCTTTTGTGCGCTTTTTAGCCAAAATAAATAACTACCAAATAACCGGCGTTTCAACTCTTCTACAGGCCATGCCTCAAAAAGTTTGTTCTAATCTGGTTTAAGCCGGATCAGTATATTATTTGGACGTAAGGTAGAATATCACGCGAATAATTTACGTAATCCCGAGGGAGACGTTGCAACCTTCACACGTTGCAACCTTCACAATGACCTTCGGATGGAAGACAGTAAATTGAACCATGAAACGACTTCGCCTCACTCTGGCTAGCGTGTGAATACAATAAACACTTCACGCTTCAGGTTTATGAGCACTTATTAGAGAAATTGCGAGGTGGTGCGCCGATCCCTTGATGGCACTTGGTCGGGTCCTACATGCCGTAAAGCAGAGGGTTTGACATATGTGGCGTAGTCTGAGAGGGTCTCTTCGTCAGACAGTTGTTGAGCGGCAGTGTTCTTTTCTTGAGCAGATACCTTGATGATGTGTCTTCTAATCGATGATGTCACGTGGACCCGTGCAGGTCTCGTGGATTCGTCTGCGGGACTTCCACCTGCTGACGGTGGGGCTGACCCGGTATACGTCAGACGAGCGCTTCTCCACGGTGCACGTACAGTACTCCAACAGCTGGGCGCTGCAGGTGAAGGACGCGCAACTGAGGGACGCGGGCCTTTACGAATGCCTGCTCAACTCCGATCCTCCGGTGAGGCAGGTGGTCTCCCTCAGGGTGGTCGGTGAGTACACCTGAACTTGTTTGTTTTCTTGTCACAAGTGAACGCAGAACCGCTATGCAGGCGAGCTGGTGGACGCAAAGTGATTGCTTCTTTTCCAAATCGTCCGCGTTGTAACGTGCCTAATTTGTTCTTCCATGGGGCTTACACTCCAAAACAACAACTCAACCTAGCTACAGTAGGTGATTAGTCAAGGCTTCAGTGGCGAACGCCCTTCAAAGTGATTGATATCTCTCCTGCAGTCAATCACTTCAGCGCCTCTTGAGAACCCGGCCTTACGGAAGAACTTTTTTTGTGGCACTTCGACTTTTGTCCAGGCATCAATTGACGCGGATATCTTGCAGCTGTTTGATCGACATCCGCCGAGTGGAAACTATTTCCCTGGAAGTGGTTAGTGTGCCTAGATTAGAGAGGGGTTCACGTGGTTTATTGGTCACGTTTCCGGTACAAATTGCGAGGAGATAGCGACAGCGTTATGATGTCTTTTTGTTTTCCTCGGCCTCCCCACGGATATTTTTCTCACCGCGCGGCAACGCGCGAATGTGCACGAGGGACCATTTTGCGTAGTGTCTTTTGCCATGAACTCGCAAGCGCTCTCTATGATTTAATTTGCTCCCCTTTGTAAATCTAGGCTCTCTGTAAGCAGTATAGTTTCTTTTTCAGATTACTTTCTGGAACATACTTTTCAAACCGGGCAAATTCCTGAAAGACGCGACGTCATGTCGATAGTCACTGAACAGGCAGTATATTTTCTTGCCCCCCCCCCCCCCCTTCCCTCAGTGCCCAAGGCTCGCATCGTGGGAGGTCCGGACCTGCACGTGGAAGCCGGATCCGCACTGAACCTGACGTGCAGCATCAGCGAAAGCCCCGAGGCGCCGGCGTTCGTCTTCTGGTACCACCAGGGCCGCCTGGTGAACTTCGAGCGTGGCGGCCGCGTCGTGGTCGCCAAGGGCCGCAACGGCTCGGCCGTGTCTAGGCTCCTGCTGCCGGCCGTCCAGGCCGCGGACTCCGGCAACTACACGTGCGACCCGGCCAACGCCAACGCCACCTGGGTGCTGGTGCACGTCCTGGAGAGCCATCGCCGACTTGCGGCCGTCCAGAACGACGCCGGGGGCATGGCCCTCACCTCGGACGTGCGCCCTGCCAGGAGCTCCTGGAGTGTGCTCTTGGCGTGCGCCCTGATGTCTATGGCAGCGTCCTGTCGGACGGCGGCGGCGCCACATAGGTGACGGCGTTGAGGTCGCTGCCATGCCCTGGCACCAAATATCGTGTGAGTGTTTGCTGCCGCTTTAAAGGGTGGCATCTTTTTTGTTATCTTGCATTTCTGGTTCAAAGGATCACGAATGAAGTCAGCATGGCATGTTAAAGTTGAAAAAAAATATTTTGAACAATTTTTGAGTGTGGATTCTCGAGAGCTGGATACGCGAAGTTTCGAAGTCTCTTAGCGCAACGTCGTTTGTGTATTTATTTTCAAGGTATATTCGTGGTTTTTGTTTTCCAAGATTTTTCTTTTTTTCTCAGTGGCAATCAGCGTGTCAGTCAGATGATCGTCTTTTCCCTGTAGGCTACAAATGTCTTTTTCGCTTATTGTGTAAAATCGAATTGAGAACCGAATTAGAAGCATTACCTCCATTACCAAAGGCATTCACATGTGAAAAGTAACAAAAAATTATGGTAAAACTTTGCGCCCTCAAAGTATTCATTACTACAGGATCGATAAATAGCCAGGCCGACAAAGCTACCTAGCGTTCCTGAAACATTCATGTGAAAGTCAATATCAAATGCACATAGGACGAATGAACCCCCTTTTTTAGACTGTATATTCGGTACCGGGAAAGGTACAGCTGCAACGGAAAAAGAATAACACAAGTGATCGACGACCGGAGCGGCAAAATCGCGATACGCGGCGCTATTGTTCCCGAGCGCGCCGATAGCGAGAGTGTCAGTCACGTTTCATGTCTTAACACGGGGGTGGCTATCAGAAAGCAGCCCATCCTAAAACCTTAAAACCCGGATATTCAAAGCTATATTATCCCTCAATTTTCTGCCGGCCGCCCCGCGTTGAGATATGGAACGTGACTGGCACTCTCACTATCGGCGCGATCGGGAGCAATAGCGCCGCGTGTCGCGATTTTGGCGCTCCGGTGATCGATCACTTGTGCTACTCTTTTTCCGTTGCACCTGTACATATTTCTTTATTAACAGTCCGTGTGTTGTCGTATTTTGATCCCACTGTTACGGTAACTGATCTAGACTGTCTACATGGAGGCAAACACTGATATCATGTTTTTGTTGACACAGGTAAATAACGAAATGCACAGCTTGCAGCGCCGGAACAATTGAAGCGACCGAAAAGGTCAGTGCGTTTCTATTCACTAGGGAGCTTTGTTTACTACGTTTCTTAATGTTTCTTCGTCAGCCACATTAACGTTATTGCTTTGACAGTCAAGCGCAATATGCATTCAATGCCTCTTGTACTGGTGCGGTTAGCGAGTCTTTTTTTCTTCTCTCGGTGTCCTGCTTGTTTTTCATTATTGTGTAACACTTCAGATCGCCTCCATTTTTGTTGGAACAAATGAGGCACGTTTTTTGTGTTGCTTGCCCTAAAGTCAGTTTGTCCGCGGAGCCTTACCCGTTCTGGAGTTGGGACGCCTCAGACACAGCACCGCTCAAACAAGTGCTCTGACAATAAACCCCACGGATCTCAGCGACCCTTAACCAGATCCGGGCGGTTCTTGCAATCCATTATGGGAACATCTTAAAGGAGCTGTGCAACGATTTCAACGCTGAAAGAATTGGCATCTTCTGTTTTTGATATTGTTCACTGTGTCACAAATGGCAGAAAACACACCTCCTTTCATCGAAATGTTGCGATTCCGCCGCGTAATAGCGAGGCAACACTTAGAATATTCCCCGACCTGCAGCCGCGAGTGGCGGCCATGAGAAACACGCGGCGTGACGTCAATGGGGAATATTGTAGAAAGATAGCAAGTTGTGCGAATACCTGCTCGATAAAAGGTAACTTTTCTATAAATCTTGTCGTTCCAACATATATATAAATGCGTGAAAAACATGGTATCATCGACAAAACTCTTATTATACGGAGTTTTAGTGGCGCCACAAAACTATCAGCTCCATCTGCTACCGTGAAAAAATGAATAGCCGCCAGAAGCCGGAGGGGGAGGGGTAAAGAGCCCAACCTCCTTGAGAGAGCGGGACGGGTATGGCCGGACCCGGATGAGACTTTCCTCCTTTCACCACATTGTTCGCGCTGCGCCCGCCAGCACGTCGTCACGCGGTCGCAAGCGGAGGAGTTCTCGCTGCTCACTGATGGCTCTAAAGAGAGAACCTTTCCGGAACCCCGCGCCTACCCCCTCGACGTCACTGCGCACGCGACCCGATGGACGACGTACGAGTTGAGAGGCGGCAAAAACCTGGATCTTTTTTATTTTTTTAATAAAAACTAGGATATTCAGGCAATCTATTTATTGTAGTTCACTTCAGAAGTGTCAGGCATCAACTTCCACAATAATTTAAGCAAAGCCCTGAAATCGTTGCACAGCTCCTTTAATGCATGGCCAATATAGGCCTTTAAACATGTCAGTTGTATATGCAGTTCATGCACGATTATACTGTCGCACTCTTCGCTTACTACTTGAACTAATCAGATGAATCGTGGTTCTTGCTTTTTGTCTCCTAGTTGCAGTCCCTTGTCATGCTTACTATCTCTATTCCTGAAGTCAATTAAAATTTTCATTTGACTCCTTTTTTGCATTTTTTGTCAGACTATTCTGAAATGATCAGCCTTAAGCTCAAATTTAACCTATTATTATCCTTAAGAAGTACCAAATAGAACAATATAGAAGCATAAATTTAAAAAAAAGAATAATGGCCACATACACATGTGATTCTATAGTGTGAACAGAAACAGGTCTAATCTGGCTGAAGGAATCCTACTAACATTCCGGCCTTATTGACATTTTTTTTTTGTTACGTGCAGATGAGCTGCTCATGGAATGCGGTACGAATTGAACCCTTCTTCGCCATGAAAAATGCACACTACATCTGGTTTCACACACTGAATTCCTACTTATGGTTCGTCAAAGATCAACGACCGAAGCAGACCCGGATTATCCTTTGTCAACCATCCCCGTGTGCCCGGGTCTCCGACAACCATACGGAACCTTCTGGAACTTATGGTTTCTCCATGGCTGAATACCTCCTCATGAACTGTACATGTAACCGTAAAAAACACACTGTGCTGTGCAAGATATCTTGTGCAACTCAAGCGTCAAGGGACATCGAGAGTGTCCAAAGCCTGGATAAGCCTCGCAGACTTATTATGATCTTTGAAATCATACGTGTCTACAGGAAGCCTCTTGGTAAGAAGGCTTCTGGACCCAGCAGATCCTGCAGTAGAGGATAGGACCTCATGAACACGATGTCCTACGTGTTAACAGAACTACATTATTGGCTGCCTGAAACTGCAGATTTGCTTTCCATAGTAGGTCGATCAGAGCTGTCGTGATCATGAGCGTCAACATACAGCAGCTTCTAGTCAAAACATCATCATCAACATCGGAAGACGAAAGTAAAAATGCTAACACCGATCAGGGCTACAGATCCGTGGGAGTCAAATATATGTGCTTGATGTAATGAATTGTCGAATCATTCAAACCTAGTGTTAAGAGATTTTTCATAACGAATTGAGCAGTGTGACATAGGAGAAAACTCGGCTAAGGCCTGACTATCTCCAATCGTACAAGACAGCACAGGAAAAGAAAGCAGATCAACCAAAGGCTTCCCCAGCTCTGGGTCATCGTCCTAAGTTTCGTGCTGGAACTTCTAATATTTCTCCGGTTTACTGCAAGGATGAAGTTGCCAACGTCAAGCATCGTGACTGCGTCTGTTACTTCATCGCCCGGTGCAAAGTGTTTTGTTCGCAATGAACGACATTCATCTCCGGCGTTTCGCATTTCCTGAAGCCCAGCGGACGTTTGTCAGGTCTATTAAGTGTCACAAATGAAATATTTTTCTGTATATTGGTAGAGATATTGAGAATTGTGTTTGTGACTTGAGTTCCTGCGCTCTCGATGCCTTTACGGACGGTCATTCCTACTGGACGTTGCTACAGTCAATATCATAACTTATTTGAAACATGGACACCCTGGCTGAAAGCTGGAGCAGGTGCAGAAATCTAAGTCAATTTCTTTTCCTTCCAGGTATTTTTACAGCATTAGAAAAGGTTAGAAAGCGTGAATGGTATCTGCATGATATGCGGTATCAGCATTTTCTTACTTTGCATGTAAGGTACGCCGCCCTGTATATTAGCACAGCGTCCTGTAAGAAGCTTGCCTAATTGCTGCCTCGAAAAATTGCATCGAGAGTGCGCGAATTGTCTACATAAGTCCTCCACCAACCGGAGCGACGAGCATCCTGTGCCGCTGGCCGTTTCCACGCAACTGTGATTCTATTACAGGCTTCCACATGTGGATGGGTGTAGGAAAACAATTATGACAAATGGATTTCCTGTTCGGCACAAGACGGGTACCGACACAGATGCCGGTTGTTCTAGTTTGCGGAGGCCTTAACACACTCTATTGCTGTTGATCTACTTTTTGAGGCATTACCTTGTATGCATCCTTGATTGCTTTTCACTGCTGGTTGTTCATCAGCGTCTGTCCATGTACAGGTCTCTTTCCTGACGTCTAAAGAAAAGCGGCTTTTTTGCTTGAGTACGCTTGAGATGACGCTTGTTAAACCCCGACGATCCTAAACCGGCTACTAAGGCTTCATGCCTGTTGCAATTTTAGGAGCAGCGTCACTGTCTTTCATTTCGCTATTGTGGTATTATAATCCGACACTAGAAGTCTAGCTAACACTCGAAAGGTGGTTCATATTCACTAGCCTGTTGACACCCATAGTGCAGTGTACAGCACATTACTAATTAACGTAACTAGTCCCGTTTATTGGAATAGACGTTGTCAGACTTGGTCGTCTTTTGAAGGCGTCGTGCGACCCGTTTGATGTTCTGACATGCACATCTCGCTCTTAAATCATGTTTACTTGTTCAGAATCCGAGACACAGCCAATACTTTCGCAATTCGTTCCGCTGACACAAATAATGTGTTTTGTGCGTCATGACTGGACGAGATATTGGCATCGCCTTCCGCAATAGCTCGATTGAAACCGCCAGTAATTTAAAGTTTAGATACACGTACTTTCGCCTGGTTCTATAGAAACAACCATATAAAAAAGAAAATTCCTTTCC